ACATTCAATGTTACGACTTCGAAAAACCTTTACACCACTTTTACCTTTAGAAGAAATTCATAACAGCCTACTTACTCTCCCTAATTTCTTTCCACAGATCCTTACAATAGTTGCTAAAGAAGACTGGAAGCATTTCCTCAGCAGTATACTATTTAACAATTAACTGCAATTTGACAACAATATCTTTAAACAAGCACAAGGAATTCCAATGGGAGGAAATTGCTCGACTGCAATCTGTGGTCTCTTCCTTTTCACTCAAGAATTTAAATTTATACGTTCACTTAATGATGAAGAACGCAAGTATTACCAGCACGTATTTCGATATATTGATGACGTTATAGCCTTTAACAACTTCAACAAACTTGAAAATGCAAATATTTATCCCACTTGCCTTAAGCTTAATATTACCAATGCACTACAAGATGATATAGTTTACCTTGATCTTCAAATTCTTAATTACAATCTTATTAAAATTTTTGACAAACGCAGAGATTTCAAATTTCATACACTCAAACTCACTAACTGGAATTCTAACATTTCAAAAAGGGTCATAATTAATACTATCAATTCTCAACTTCTAAGAATTAAAGGAACCTGAAATAACACAGACCTTCTACAAGAAGAAATACGTTACGTCATTAACATCTTAAAAAGCAATCTTATTTCAAAAACAATTATTAAAAATTCCTTATAAAAGCTGGCATTTACCTTTTATTTTAGATTATTTGGTTTGGAGATATGAAATTTTTTACCCAAATGCGATAGGAAGGTAGATGATGGATAGCTAAATCAAGTGATCTAATGTAAAAATGTAACATAGTTTCTTAATACTACATCACTTTTTTCTCTCTTGACTTGGCACAGAAATTCAGTAAATTTATTATTTAATATCACTATTTTCTGGCCAACCCTACCCTTTTATTAATTTTAAACTTTGATTATTCCACTTGCTCTACTGTAGTAGAAGCACGGTAAAAGTTCTAAAAAGTACTGTATTTATTTTTAGATGTTAAGTGCTTCTCAACCAAATTGCAGTTAGAAAAATTCCTCTCACAACAAATAATGTTTACAGCAATTCTGAGTAAAGGTCGCAGAAGTATTAAATTATTTATAACTAGCAGCCACACGGCCAGCCTTCTGGCTTTTAAATGTACCGGGAAAATGCCTGAAGGGAACACCAAATGTTAAAATTAAAAACTGCGCAGAATTTTACTCTGCAGAACAACTTCAGAACTTCCCCCCCCCCACAAATTAAAAAAATATTACATATAATAAAATTACAATGAAATAAGCAATATCCCTTAAGACAAATATTAATTATCCTAATAAATATATTAACCAACCTCCCGTTGCCTTCTCTCAACAAACGTCCAGTATCCAAGAGAAACATTAAATTTTAAAACTGCACAGAATTATCGCCCTCATTGTTTTAAGTGGCAACAGTGCTGATTTTCAACAGTCAGCAGTCCAGTATACAACTGAATGAAAAACTGTTGCTAAGACCTGCGATGAAATCAAAAAGATAAGATAAAAAAAAATTGATTCGAATTTTGAAAAAATCGCTTCGAGGTGCACTGGCTCTTTTCTAGATGCACCTATATAACAAATTTCGTAGCCCTGGGTCTATTAGCTTACGCGCAGCACGAACGAAAGACACACAGACTCTTTCTTTTATTATATGTAAAGATTGCGTTCTGAAGACTAAAATTTAGATTAAACTACAAAAATTCATTGTGATTGTTCTTTGATCTTTTTGTTTAATTTTTCCAAGCAGTAGCAGAAATAAAATTCCGACGAATTTCTCTCTCAGAAAAAAAAAAAAAAAAAAAAAAAAAAAAAAAAAAACTCACTGTGATGAGTTCATATTCATATCACTGTTATGATAGGATAACTGACAATTGTAGTTTTCATGTGCAGGCTTCGATGGCACGAGAAAAGCGTAGCAAGGTCACGAAACTGTTGAAATCTATTTATAATTTCTTTGAATGCTATGTCCACTATAAAAACAAATTCTCTTTTCAACTTAATTTCATATGACAGTTCAGTAATTTGTGATTTGTCACTTAACCAGTGATAGAGTGAATAAGATGGCTGAATACTACTGATAGTTTGATATGGGGGCGAATTTCTAACAAAAGTATAGCTGCATGAGCTTTTCCTAGTTTACCTGATGTGCAATTTAGAGTATATAACGATATAGAAGGCGTCTCAAAAGGTCGTTGCCAAACTTAACATGCTGGTCTGTCATACCATGAGAAACAAGATTTACATAAAAACTTGCGTCCGAAAATGCGAACGGCGACCGCTAGAGGGCAATTTTCGCAAGCGTAGAGGGGAAGAAAGAAAGGATATCGAAAGAGGTATTAATATGACATTTATTATCGAACATGATTAAATCATAGAAGACGTCACCTCGCACATTGTGGACTTCATGTAGTATATCTACAGGCCTAAATCTAAGAGAGTCAGGTCGGGATATCACGGTGGCCATGCGACTGGTCTGCCTTCCCAATTCAGGGATCAAGATATCCCTATTGAGATATTCCCGCAAAATGTGCAGGGGCTCCACCGTGTTGAAACCAGATGTTTTGGCATGTAGCTCCTAGAACGTCAACCATGACACCTGGCAACACTCTTTCTCCAAAATGTCAAACAAAATGTCCATAAAGAACTGAGTTAGCAAACCGATTCATCCTTCTCCGGCAGCGTGCTCGCCTGAAATGATCACACTTCTCGATTTCACATAAGCCTGCAAACATTGCCCTCTAGCGTTCGCCGTATGGATTTTCGGACACAAGTTCCTATATAAATCTTGTTTGACGTGGTGTAACAGACCAGCATGTTAAATTTCGCAACGATCTTTTGAGACACCCTGTATTCACGCAGCATAACACGAATAGAAGCCAGTGTAGCCAGCCAGTTACTTGACTTATTTTTAATGTAAAAAAAATATGATGTGTACACCACATAACTTCCTTGTACGGAATATTAAATTTTACGCATTTTTTCTTGCATTTCATTTAAACTTATTGGATTGATTTGCGCATAAACCACAATAGAATAAATGCATTCATTAAAATTCACTCTAGTATTTGTTTACCATAGCGACACTCTGGCGCTAGATTCACTTAACAGTATTAATAATTATATGACAGTTAACTTATATAATAATTATATAACGGAGACTAAGTTAACTGTTCTATAATCCAATAACTATGTAACAGTTAACTTATATATTTCGTTCATATTATAACTCATAGTGCACAAAATTTATACAATTTAAAGAATAGAATTATCTAATCGTTGCCACATGTTCTATTCAAATACTATAATAAAGCTAGAATGATGTATAAAAGCAAACACGAAACAAAAAAGAAACAGTTTTCCACAGACCATTGAGTATTTCGTATTCAATTAATTCAGTTTTCCCTTCGCGAGAAGGCAAAAATACATAAAAACTCAAAATATCTGTATTAAAAATTACGAAGTAAATTTTAAACACTTATTTCCTCGAAAACATTCCTGAAAGGATTAAGCACGATTTAATTCGCAATAATAAATGAAGGCGTTATCTTTGTTGTTGCGAAGCTAAGTTTCTCTAGATTGGCAACAAATCCACTATCCTGCTGTTTCAAATGTAAACAAGCAATGGCCGCCATCAAAAAAATTATTAGGTCTAGCGGCACATAAACAACTTTAAAATTGTTGATAATTCTAAAAATATTGCATACAGATTTACTAAAGACATAAAAGGCTTAACCGGAAGATAAGAACAACATAATTCAATCATTTTTAAAGCAAAAAATATACAATTTACAAACATACAAGAGTAAAGAAACTGAGATCACTGACCCGGGTAACACAGTGGATATATATATAAATATATTTGTATACGCTTGGTGCGGCCGATTGAAACCAAAATACGAGGTGCACATCTACATGTTATAGCAGTCCTATATACAATATTTCAACGTTCTGAGGCTACTCGTTTTTGAGTTATGCGAGATACGTACGTACGTACATACGTTCGCACAGACGCCACGAAAAATTCTCTTCAGAATTCATTTTAAAGCAATTTTATAATTTTTTTCTTAGGCAACGAGTCTTTTATTCTGTCCTTACTTACAGATATCACGCAAAAACATCGTGAAATTGCATTCGATAGCAGTAAAAATGGATATTTTCGTTGAAATATGCTGCCTGAAACTTTTTCACGATTACAATACTTCCTTTTTACTTCGTACAAGGAAGTAAAAATCAAAATGCTTAGGAAATAATCTTTGTAGGTTTTTTGCATATTAAAATTAAAATATATCGCTTTAATTAAACTTAAAAATTTTCATTACGTATTTTTATACGAATTTCAAAAGTTACAAACAAATGCTCTTTTTCAATTACGACGATTTAAAAGTAGCTATTTAAATTTCATTTCAGACGTTGCTTATCTGGTCAAGGTTGAGGACACTTCAGCTGACCATTTCTTGGTCAAGGGTGCTTTTAAAAGAAACATCAAATAAAGAGTCTCTTGAACTGAATATAAATTGTGACATGATAAAACAGATGATGAGCTTTCGAGGTCAGTATTAAAACACAAAGATAAAAAAGAAAAAGCTCGTTTTATATAGCATGTAGTAGCTGGCAGATAAACAAAAAAGAAGCATGAATTAAAAGAAAAAAAATCATCTCTGCTATTCGTCTACGATATCAGTTAAATTTTGTCGCCCGGAGACGCAGCTGTGAATGGAAGGATAAAAAAGAAATTGGTTTTATAGTGAATGAATATTCTTCGGCTCACCTTACTATTGCGTAAAGAAAGGGGTAAAATCGCTGTTCTCCATTAGTTCGCTCGATTCCCGGGCTCCAAGGATTATCCAATTACAGAAGAGAATTTCGTACGGCCGACCAATTGGATTTTCTTTGACACAAGTTGCTTTTAAAGTTTTCTGTTCTTAATTGGCTTGAAAATAGAGATTTGTTTTTGTGTTTATTTAGGTAAACACGCCTACGAAACAAATTTAAAATAAGTTTTTAAAAATCTTTGTCTGATGCCATTCTTAAGAGATTATATGAATGGTAACGCAAGCGAACTCTACTGAAGCGAAAACTTCGCGCTAACTACGAAAAAGTAAAGATTTCTTAATTATTATTTTATTTAAGTTTGTTTAATTTCAATAAATTATTGATCTGAGTAATTATTTATGCATTAAGTGACGAAAAGCAAATTGATTTTAGATGAGCATTTAGCAAGTTTATAGTTTATCATTTACAATAATATATTATTGATTTTAATTTGCAGTATTGAAACATTTTTATTAAAGTGATAAGAAATTAATTTTAAAAATCTCCTCTAAAGAAAAATTTTAGACGGGAACTTTGTAAAGGTGATTTTTCTCGTTATTTCTTATCTGTGTTAAAGGAATATCAGAGAATTATTTGCTTTTCGCTTATTTTTTCAGATATGACTAAAAAACGTATTTTGCTTTACAGTTAATAGTTATTAATAACATAGATTAATTTTTCATTTGGCAAAAGAATACAAAAATTTAATTTTTAATTTAAAAATTTGTTTTTTTTTTTTTTTAAATAAAACATCGCTTTTTAGTATAACATTTCTGCATTATTTAATGCAAATTCTATATTTTAAAAAGATACATTGATACATTTAATTTTGTTTCAAAATATTTTTATGTATTAGATAATTATTCAATAAATTTAGATAATTATAAAATTATATGCTTTCTAGAATCCCTTTCTCAATTTTTACTTCCTTGTACGAAGTAAAAGGAAGTATTGTAATCGCGAAAAGTTTCAGGCAGCATATTTTCAACGAAAATATCCATTTTGACCGCTATCGAATGCAATTTAACGATGTTTTTTGCGGTCATATCTGTAACGTAAGAACAAGAATAAAGGACTCTTTTTCCTTCAAACGAATTATAAAACTGATTAAAAATGTTAATTCTAAAAGAGAATGTTTTCGTGGCGTCTGTACGAACGTATGTACGTACGTACGTACGTATCTCGCATAACTCAAAAACGAGTAGCCTCAGAACGTTGAAATTTTGTATATAGGACTGCTATAACATGTAGATGTGCACTTCGTATTTTGGTTGCAATCGGCATGTTTGTAAGTTGTACGTTTTTTGCTTAAAAAATGATTGAATTATGTTGTTTTTATCTTCCGGTTAAGGATTTTTTGCCTTTAGTAAATCTGTGTGCAATATTTTTAGAATTATCAGTAATTTTAAAGTTGTTTAATTGCCGCTAAGCCTCTTTTTAATGGCGGCCATTGATGTTTACATTTGAAACAGGAGACTAGTGGATTTGTTGCCAATCTAGAGAAACTTAGCTTCGCAACAACAAAGATAACGCATTCATTTATTATTGCCAATTAAATCATGCTTAATTCTTTCTGGAATTTTTTCGAGGAAATAAGCGTTTGAGTTTACTTCGTAATTTTTAATATAGATATTTTTGAGTTTTATGTTTTTTGCCTTCTCGCGAAGAAACTTATTGATTTTAATTTTTTTTCTTTCGTTTGAAAATGTTTCTGTTATTTTTTGAATGAAATATCTCAATCGTCTGTGAAAACTGTTTCTGTTTTTGTTTTGTTTTTAATTTTGGTTCTAGTTTATTAATTTGTGGCAACGATTAGATAATTCTTTAAATGATATACTTTTGCGCCTTCTGAGTTCTATATGAATGAAATACTGTTAAGTAACCTTAGCGCCGGAGTGTCGCTATGGTAAACAAAGTGAATTTTAAGCATTTTTATTCTATTGTGTTTATGCGCTGTCGGCGAAGTAGGTTTAATTCAATCTAATAAGTTTAAATAAAATGCAAGAAAAAGTGCGTATAATTTAATATTCCGTACAAGGAAGTCATGTGGTGTACACATCAGATTTTTTAGTATAATGATTATGATTACCATTTCTTTTCCAAAACCGAAGAAATGGAAATGTGCAATATAATTTAATGTTGCAATTTACATAGAATAACTTTGTTGTAAGATGACATAGTCTCATGTTAAACATTAAATGCAATAAATGAAGGTACATGTTAGCTCATAAATACTTTATTGAAAGTGTGATTTAAGTAAATTAAATTAAAGTAAGGAATTAAGTGCAACAAAAATTTCTGCGCTGATTTGCAGCCAACTCGTTGTGTGAAAGATAACTGGTATTTAATTTTGAGTTACTTCAAGTTAATTGTTGATTTAAAACTTACATAACTATTGATTCAATGGCTTAAATAATTTTTCTATTTTTTAATTAGTGAGTTCCATTTCTGTAACGCCGTAAAACATAATAATATTTATTATTATTATTTACCTATTTCGGCTTAAGAGCACTATACGAAAGGGAAGGATGCCTTCGTGGAGGACTTTCTAAGAGAAACTGGCTCATATTAACACGTTACGCATGAGGAAAATCACAAAACAGTCATACAGCCAGCCGGTTCTTGGGATTCGTGCCTCGGACCGAACTACCAGCGTTCAGGGGTTTTACCGCTCGGCCGCTGGTGGGTGGTAATAATATTTGAAACTAGTTTTATAAAATAATCGTCTGTTCTTTAATGAACTTAAAAAATTCTTATTAATTGACTTTACTTAAAATTATTTCATGAGCAACATTTGCATAAAGTAAAGTGGAACAGAGTGACTTAAGAAAAGTTGTTTAAAGTCAAAAAGCATAAGTGACTAATGTGATACAGAACTGAAATTTGGGGCAATTAAGTATTTCAAAAAAGCAAGTATTGAAGAATGCATCAAGAAATTATTGTACAGATTATTTTAATTTTTAGTTCAATGTACATTAGTGATAAAGCGATGCTCGATCTAAGCTATATTGTTTTATAGAGAAGTTTCACATCTGAATAGAAATTAAGCGAACTCAGAATGAATTAGAATAGAATGTCTTATTAGATTTTACACTAATTTTACACCAAACCAATTTTTACACCTAATGATTTCTTCGTTTCTCTTAGCTAATTGCTTCTCCTTTAAAGAATCCCAATAAGAAAAATGTTATAATAATTTGAAACAAAATCTTAAAAGTAGCCTTAATATACTTTAGGAATAGGAACATGTATTGCATTTCTTTCATCTTAAACATTAATTTATTAAAAATTTTATACATAAAAGAACTTTTATTCTTCGCTAGGTAACTCCAGATAAATTGGAATTTTTATAAGGCTTTACACTGATTTTCATGAAAGAAAAATATAAATTTACTTTCATCTTTTTTACTTTATGATTTACTGACCAGGAGTATCTTGCAATTCAGTTACACGCATCTAAGTGAATCGAACCCATAGTAAGCTATGCGTTATATTTTATGCACTTAATGTTAATGAGCCCAAAGTTTCTAAATGAAGAATTTAGTTTAAGGGTATAGAGACATAAGATATTTTTTGTAAGCAGGGGAAGTGAAGTGAAAAATGAGAAACGTCTTCACCGGGAATCGAACCATGGTCCTCTGGAATACGCTCCCAGCGTGCTGACTACTACACTACGAAGGCATGCTAAGAAGGCGGGAGAACTACCTTATAAGGGTTTCTAATGAAGGTCAAAGATTGAATGATTCTTAGAAATTTACGACAGTAATTTTTGATCATCGATATTCTGAAACAAAAATTATAATTAAAATAATTTCGAAATATTTTTAATTCGCAGTAGCAAATATAAATTTTAAATAGCAGAGTGTAATAGCAAAATAGCAGCGTAGTTTTAAAAATTAAAAATTTTATCTATGCTTTTGTAACAATTTTGAAGCATACTTTCTTCAAAATATATTCTATTTATGGGAGTAATAAAATATTAAAATCTCCAGATCTAACCGTTTAAAAATATGGACATGTTACCTATGATTTGTAAGTCATAAATGGTCTGTCTGTAAGTAAGATTCTTTAACATATTTTTAGAATATCAAAGAATTTTTGGTATTCAAAGAATGAAGAAATTTCTGCAAAAGTTAGCTTATCAGGATTTAACACAGAATTTTCATTTCCATATTTCTTTAGAACGAAACGAACGAACGAGACAATTAAAGAAATGCATCTGGAACGCCTTATCTCCAGAGACGAAGATATCTTCAAGTCTTCTTCCTCCTCCCCAGTATCATCCATCATCTTAGACGATTCTGAGCAAGAGGTTACGGAATGGTGTGACTTTCCAGAAGTCCAGCCACTAACGGTTTTTCCACAAGAAGAATTTCCTTCTTGTCAGAGTGAAAACCTTCCGAGTGGTGAAAGTTCTTTACCAAAAGACTTAGCTGATATACCATTCGGAACACTCTTGCCTCCTGCAGTAGGATTAGATTTTAATAGCTCTACTTCATCTCCGTTGTTCTTCGGGGAAGACAGTGAAACAGAACTGATTCATGATCGAGGAAACTTGGACGATATAACTTCAGTTACTAAAGACAATTCAGCTTTTAACCCAAATATTAATCAACAGTTTCATTTCATTACGAAATGCACCTCATCAGTCTCGGATACTCCAGATGTTACTGATTCTAATTCATTATCACACGATGTGCCATTAAATATGACGTGTTCTTGGAAAAGCTGCCCAGATTCCAGAATTAAAAACGAAGAGGAATTCCTAAGCCACGAAAACTTCCAGTATAGATGGCTCGAAGAAACACATTTGTCTAGCCTCGAATCCGAAGATTTGGCAACTATTTTAGACTATGAAGAAAGAACAGCAGAAATGGACAATGAATCTCTTGATTCTTTGCACTTCAGATCAAATAATGCTTCGCATACGGAGCAGGATGTCTGTCAGTCTCAACCAGAGTTAGTGGACTTCAAGACCTTTCCTCCTAAGACATTAAATAAATATGAATCTGAAAACAATATTACCCATTCATCGTCAAAGATTTCAACAAGTAAAAGCTCAACGATTCAGATTGGTATTGGCAACTGCCTGTCTTTGCAAACTTATAAATATTCTGGTACCAACCAAATTAAAAAAGAACAATGTTCTGAGACTCAAACAGAACTTCTAAATTACTACACAAAATCCTTGAATGCGCCATATTATGTGAGAAATGCTAGTAATAGTTCTGCTTCCCGAATGAAACGACATCAAAAACAGTCAAACTCACCTAATGCTGAACATAGTTCTCCAACACCACATATATGTCTTTGGGTAGACTGTAAGACAGCATTTCCATCCCAAAGCACGCTAGTAAGACATATAGAGAAGTGTCATGTCGACCAGAGGAAGAGAGAAGACTTTAGTTGCCTATGGATCGGTTGTCCAAGAAAGTTAAGACCCTTCAATGCTCGGTACAAGCTGTTAATTCACATGAGAGTTCATTCAGGAGAGAAACCCAACAAATGCATGGTAAGTCTTTCCATTATAAATTTGTTCATGTTTTTCTTTGCTTTCAAATTTTTAATATTTAGAGTAAAATGCGAATACTAGTTTGAAGTAACTGGTTGGCGGCTCTTAACGATTTTGTAGCAAGAGAACTCAGTATCCTGTGGGCTGCTAAGACAGGTTTTCGGGACTGAAGCTCTTAAAATGAGAGCTCAAATCAATAATGTTTTAGGAAAAAAAAAAGTGAAGAAAATTTACTCACTCAGAAGCTTGGTTAATACCAACTCGAATATCACAGTAATGCAGATAAATGAAATTTGGAATTCGAATGAAAAATTAGAATTTAGTTTCTGGTGATTCGAAGATCATTTTCAGATACATGAGTGTATAGAAAGTAGTTGAAAACAAACGCAACAAAAGTTTAAATATTTGCTGCAAAATTTAACCGCACCTTCCAGAGATGTTTCAAAGATCTGTAAGGTAAATTTAATTTTTATAACAGTTATTTTAATTTCGAAGCCCTTTCCTATCAATTCTTGTTTCCATTTACAACTCCCTACCAGAATGAGTTTTTAGAATCGCGTTCAATGCAAATGACTTAGAAGAGGTATTTAAGTAAGGTTCAACTATGTTCGACAGAAAATGCAAGGAATTCTAAGATACGCGTATTTGTCTTCGGGCTGTCACTCTTGAAGCTGTTACACTCTGCCATATATTACGTGCCTATGGATATTCGCCGGTTAGTTTAATTTAAGAGCCAACTAGACTTAGATAATTGCATTTAGCTTCGGCTAAGTCTCGTTTAGTTAATTATAGTTTAGTTTCTTATTTCTTATTCTGAGTTAAAGCCCGAGTAGAGGCTTCCTGTAAGCCCAAGAAGGAGCCGACTGTTATTCTTGTATGAGTGAATAAAAGGGTATTTTAACCCCTCTCTAGTCTACGTCTTTAATGTTTTGAACTCAGGGATAAGTCATTACATAGTTCACTAGGTCCCTCAATGTTCATTTTAGACAAAATTAGTGAGGAACCCTACATATCTATTCTTTATTTACTATTATCATTTGAAACTATTCTTGATTCACTAATTTAATATATAAATAGATTATCACTGAATATCACTGATTAAAATATATATTTAGATTTAAAATATATATTTCTTAAAAGTTACTTTTGATTTACTCTAATCATAAGAAACAAGGCATTTTAGTAAGTGAGTTTCGGCGACAATTAATTGCCAATTAATTAATTGTCATTCCTCGTCAGTCATGCTTAAGATTTTACTTTAAATCGGAAATTTTAGGCTTATTTTTAGTACAGTCAGGATCCATAAAATTACGAGAAATTTAACCTTACAGTACTTCTTTCTTAGAGAAGCATACACTTTTATAGAATTTTGCTAAAGAGCATTTTTTTAAAATATCATAAAGTATTCTGTATTACTTGCTTATCGAAGAAAAATGCGTTTTTTATTCATTTATGTTAGAAAGCAGTGGTTTCTAGAACGGGCAAGAACAAAATCTTTGTAATGCTTACTTTCTTATTACACAATTATATAACATTTACCTGTAGTTACTATTTACTTTATAATTACCAATTAAGTTTTAATAGTTGTATATGTTCATTTATTATTTATTAGTTCATTATTATATTACTTTTTTCTAGGAATCCTTTTGTTTTGCTTCCTCTTTTTCTCTGAGTAAATATATATAGACTACAATAAATCGCAATCACGTGACGTGAGTCGCGACTCATATCCGTATAATGGAGTATGTAAATTGCGCCAGAAATTGCAAGCATATGCATGCGAATCGCGACGTTATGCAAATTGTGCCAAAAATTGCAAGCATATGCATGCGAATCGTTGCGTTGAAATGTTTAGAAAACATTGTTGTAAAGTTTTTAGGTTACCTAATCAGAGTTTTATCTAAGTTCCATTACTTTCATTTATTTTATTGTGTTTTCTCTATCCTTTGCAGAAGATAGAAATTAGTAGAGAGTATTTAAGCAGTTGGCAGGAAGGAGTAAAAGGTTATTATATAGAAGTGTGTGAAAATGAAAAAGTAATGATACTGATTTATAAGAAATCACGACATTGAATTGACGGTAGATTTTATTTCAGCGGAGGCATTTTCAGCGATTCAAACGCGATCGCTATCTTCAGCGCTAAGACAGTGTTTCAATCGCTGAAAACATTTCGGCTAAAACAAAATTTGCGCCAAACTGCGCTGTTGTGTTCCTTACGTAAGGACGTGGAAGTAGTTCTAGCGGTTGTTCCGCGACTTTCACTCGCTGCCGGTAAGCTGAAAGCCAGTGAGTGTTTTCAGCCGGTAAGCTAAAAGCCAGTGAATGTTTTCAGCCGGTAAGCTAAAAGCCAGTTTTTGGTTTAGAATACATGACAGATAAAGAAAACGGAAAGCTTTTGAATTCTTTAGGTCAATAACCGTTCAAGATAGAGTTATCGTTTAAAGTTACTAATACTTTTATAATTTAAACTTACTAGTAATTAAAAATTTTTAGTAACAGTGGCTCTTTAATCCTAATAATTTTATATCTTAACCAAGCGTAGATACAAACAAAATTTTATAGTTTTTTCGTAATTTGAGACATTGTCTTCTGCCAACAGTAATTATTTCAGAGTAATAGCAAAGACTTGGCTTTAAAAGTAACTTACAGGTTCTAGCTTTAAAATGAAGCTGTTTTCAGGTTCTACTAGAGTTCATAAAATATTGAATTCACGTTACAGTGGTGGTTAAATATACTGTATCAACAGATGCTTAAACAAATTCATTACATTTAAAATACTGTGACATTCATTACTTTTCGATAGTAAAGGCAAATATGTTCAGTAAAATGGGAATAAAAAAAAATCTGAAAGCTTTCAGACTTTATATTATGCCCACAGAGGCTTTTTTACATTTACACACAAATACACGTTTCGAGAACATTTGGGTAACGGCCCTTTGGCCTAAAATATTTAAAAACAGAATATCTTTAGAATTTCCAACAGACAGTCGTACGCAGGGGATAAAAGTGTTTTTTCCTTACAGTGTTGCCCCTGCTCGCTTTTTTAATCAAAAATTCATTCAAGGTTTATAAAATATGAAATAGACAATAAGACAGATTCCAAATTTGTGCTTCCAGGTGCCCATATTCGGATGGAGTACTACGTTATTCAAAATTGGATGCTCTAGGTGTCGTTGCTTTTTCACAGTGCGAGAAACATATATACATTCATGCAAACTCTTCATTTTTTAATTTCTTTAAATATAATACAGAGTGATAATATTTGGCGGCAACAATTTGAAAAGTTATTCAACGCTTTTACTGATTCGAAGCGAAATGTCGAATGAAATAATTCTTTTCGGCTAAAGCACCTTTGGTCTAAAAGTGTTCAAGTAAAATGGAAAACTATGAAACAAATAAAATTAAACATAAAATGTTTTCAAAATGCTGCTGCATATTTGAACCAAACTGCAATTATAAGATTTCTATTCGAAAAACAACAAACAAATATACAAATCTGGTAAGCGTCATCTGTTTTATTAGAAGCATTTATTTGAATTTATTTCGAATAATGAATATTTTTGAAAACTGAAGGAAGCAAAATATAATTCCGTCTAAGATAAAAATGAAAAATTTAAGTACTTTTTACAATGGTACTGAGTTTTTCCGTCTGTTCTTCACTATTTCTTTGTTTCTGTAAATATTGATTCATTTAAAAAAAAATCGATTTCAGTTTATCATTAAATTACATTGAAAGATTATACTGTTTTAGTTATAACGCAGAAAATACAATTTGAAAACTTTTAGATTACAGTCTAACTCTTTAAAAAATTTATCGCTATTGTTTGTAAAATTTAATATATACATAAAAAATTAGATCAGATTTTATATTCAAGTCTTCAAGATTTAAAAAAAAACTGCAACCTGATCTTGTTATGAATATTTCAATTTAAACCTGAAACATCTGTAAGCAAAGCAGTTATCATATGCTTACTAACTTAAGAAGTAGTTCCTCAATTGTAAGAGATAAAGAAAAAATATCTTATATTTAAAAGAAGTGTTCTGAAGAATAAAGTTAAATGGTAGGAAGAAAAAAAACTCCCATATTATTATTTCATTATAAAGTAAAGCCACGTGGAGATTTATACTCTTATTTATTAAAGAAAAACGTAATTATTCAAAGAGTAGCTGAATTTAATAAAATTATGTTATTTTATACAAGTTGAAAATAAGAATGCTTATTTTACATTTCTCCTCTTTTGAGACCTATTTTCCTTTAAAATTTGGAGATTTTTAAATAATTTTGCATATGGAACTTAGTAAGTTGATAACTCTCACAAATGGGGAAATGGAAAAGCAAATTTTCCCCTTTTCTCTAAAGTAAGCTGAGACAACTACAGTAAATGTACTAAAATAAATTTAATTTGTATTTTCCCAGTTTTGATGAAAATTATTCTTTTCCCCTTTAACTATTTCAAAACATTAAGATATATGTCAGTTTTTTTAGATTTATTTTACATTTTTTAAAAAGAAATTGCCCCCAAAAAATCTTTTGAATATTACTCTTATTAACTTGGTGTATGTAATAGATGTTTTAATGTTAATGTAATTTAATTATATGCTGTTTATTCTCTAACGATTTTTCTACGAAGTAAATTCTTCTAAGGCAATCTTAATTGATTATTATAAAGCATGTAAAATGTGCTTTGTGATGATCAATTAGCTAATTTATCTCTCGGCATTTGCATACTGAATTTAAATTTTATGTGATTATTTTTTTTTAATATTAACAATAAAAATAGTAATAGGTTTTATTTTTTTCTGCTAATGTTTTTACATTGGATCGCTTGTTCACGATGCTTGCCAGAAATATTTCTTTTAAGTGGTAGTGCTTTCTATTTTAAAGATAAAAATTCAGAGAAGTGAGAACAATAAGTTAAATAAAGAGTTTTCCTCTGATATATTATTTTAAAGTAGCGTTATAATAATTAAACTTTATATTAATCTGAGAAAGTTTGCAA